TTTTAATAATAATTTTTTCATAATACTTGACAATTACCTGTAGTAAATTTAGTACTTGTGTATAATCATAAGCATAAACAGAATATAATTTAAAGAATGGTGCAAGTTTGTGGAATACTCCAGCTATGTTATCAGGATTACGTTTTAATCCTGCCACCAGTTCACCACTCACATTATATAACGTCTTTATGTTTTCAGCTAAAGTGACAAGTAATGGATGGTCCAACAATTTTCTCTCGAGAATAGGCTGTATAAAAAACTGAAAAAACATATATAATTGTATATACACACAAATACATACATATATATTTTATTATTTATATCAATAATATGAGTATAATAATAGAAAATATACTTCTACTAAGATTTCCAGTTGTTGTAAATAAGTAACTTCTGTAGTGAGTATTTCTTGAATGGCTTGTGATCTCAAAATTTTTTCCTTTTCCTCTGCACATTTTTCATTATCTTCATTTAAAGCATGTAGAACTGAAAAAATTATGATGTAAAACTTGCTTAAGTGATGATTACAGTTAACGGACATATAAAAAAAAGATATAAAAAATTATACCCTTCATACGGCTCCGCATGCTCAACATATTTCTTTCATTTATAATTTGTCTTAATTCTGAACTAAGGCTAGCTTGAGGCGACAACGGTGAATACATAGTTATATAAATTATTTGTGCATATAGAAAATAAATTGACAATAATATGATAAATTCTATATTTTATTTTATTCAAAATACAATATAATATAGTATTTCTATACTATATTATAGAACTTTCCTTCGAAAATTTAAATAAAAGCAGCTTGATTATTCGCTACTGTTGTCGGTTTGACATAGTTCGACACGTTGTATGTATGTACAGCACTGTGGTGCACTATATATACATACAGTAGTGTAGTACAGTGTGTTGTGTACGTTAAAATTTAAATGACAGCGGAAGTAGCAACACCTGTTTACTTTAAAGGCCCGTCTACAATACACGGAGTAAGAAGTAAAGCCGGCGGCACACGATGCTTGTTTTCCTACTGGATTGCTAGCTGGATTAGAATCTTGCCACCGTATTGGATGTGATGCTGTCAGTGCCAGCATCGCAGGCAATACAGTGGCAAGATTCTAATCCAGCTAGCAATCCAGCAGGAAAACAAGCATCGTGTGCCGCAGGCTTTACTTATGGATACATAAGTAAAAATCTCATACCAATTATATGTTATACATTAATGCATATAAAAATGAACCAATCAAAGTTCTTTATTTCCTTATTATCCATGAAATAAGACAGTATTCACAAAGCAGAGAGGTTCCTCTCTGCACAAAGCATAGAGAATGGACTGCGCGATCCGTGTGTCAAAAGTGGTCGATAGAGATGAGAGAGAGGGACCGTGGCAGACGGCCATTTCTATCTCTTTCCATTCAATGGTGTAATGGGAGAGAGAATGAGAGGGAGATCGGCCGTCTCCCACGGTCCCTCTTTCTCTCTCTCTCATTATTGTCGACCACATTTGATACATTACTTGGGCTGCGTTCCGTTTCACGCATGATGCGCATGGAGAGCATGGAAGGCGGTCCGTTTCACTTCATGCTCCGTTCATGCGCGCATGAAAAAACGGTAGGGTGTCTTATAGGCTTTCTACAATAAGTAATTATCTAAGCTTTAAGGCCGGTATTCATAGTCAGATCTTATATTCAAGACCGTCTTAAATACGGTCTTAAGAAGTCACGAACCAATCAGAGGGCTGCATTAGCGTCTTAAGACATTACTTAAGACGGTCTTGAAATAAAAATCGACTATGAATACCAGCCTAAGTCTTATGCCGCAAGAAATTGACCAATCACAGTTGAATATAAGAAGAATAATTGACTATGATTGGTCAATTTCTTATGGCTTAAGACTTAAAGCGGGGAGCACAGACTCTCGCATAAGGCGTAACACGTAATGCATAAGAATATGTACCAATCGAAGTTCTCCGTTTCTTTCCCTTCCATGTAATAGAGAACTCTGGTTGGTTCAATTTCTTATGCCTCATGTGTTATGCGTTATGCAAGAGTCTGTGCTCCCCGCTTAAAGCTTAGATAACGACTTATTATATAGCGTTTTCGATTGGGGTGCACTGGTTGCACTCAGTGTCAAGAGCGTGTTCGATTGGCAGTACCAATGCGCACTTGGCTAGTGTCACGTGTTCATTTGATCGCACGACAGTCGACACTCGCGTAGTGCGCACTCAGTGCGCACTAAGGGTGGAGTCCCATGAAGCGTATTTGCCGCGTATCGCGTAACC